TATTGGCTGTCTCAGTCAAAACTACATGAGATGGGCTTATGGGAGCACAAAGGAAGGTAGAAATTAGAGAAAGTTACACATTGAAAGCTGGAAAAGTTGGCTTGGAAGAGCAAAGAAATGCATATAATTGTGGTCCCTTTATTATGATGATATGGAGACATTGAAGCCAGTGCAGATTTAAGATTTTGAGGAATAATACCAGATCCGTGTGGGTATGCATTTCAAGAAAGGATTTACAGACTGGGTCTCTTCGCTTGGAAAAGAGGCTGAGAGATGACCAAATGGAAATCTTCCAAATTCCAAAAGGTTTTGATAGAGTGAATGTAAAGGGACTGTTTCTTCTCATGAGGAAGAGCACAATTAGAAATCATTGATATAACATAGCTATCAAGAAATCCAATTGGGAATTTAGAAGAAAATCTTCAACCAAAAACTTTAATAATGTGGAGCTTGCAAACACAGCAAGTGTCTGAGTGAACGCTTTCGAATCATTTAAGGGGAAGCCAAAGAAGTATTTGAAGTTATGATGGTTATGATAGGAGATTTAAATGAGAAAAATGAGAAGAGGCTTGAGTGGGTTGTAAACATTAGCATGGACTGGTCAGGTAAGTGGCAGAGGCAATTAATCAGTTAGTCTGACATCACTGATAAAGAAATCCCTAAGTTACTTGGGTTTGTTACAGGGGAGCTTGGAGGAGGCAAAGGAGAAGGGTTAAGACTATAGCTGCAATAGAGATAAGTAATCATGGTCATCTCTGTATTTCAAGATGTTTTTGGAATAGTGATTCTGGAAGGTGAAAGAAGGCCTCAATAATGCTTCATGTGCTTCTGCTAGATCATACATCAATCAAACCTATTCAATCACACAAAAACAGAAGAGGTGCAGATCTGAAGATTTTTAGCTATTTATTATTTTTCCCCCATCAACAATTTTTGCTTGATTTTCAATCTCACCTCCCTGCACTGCAGGTACCTAATCTACTCTTCCGCCATCTCTACACACAAGACTCCAGAGACAACTCTGCTTACCAATCTGTTGATTTTTTTTTGTGTGGGCTGTTCAACTAGTCGCATCTGTAAGCTTGGACCCTAGTACTACTATTTCCGTGTCTTTTGTCCACATTTCATCTTTATTTAAATAAATCTCTTTGTCATAAGATTCACCTTCTCTCATCTGTAATTCATTTCTTCACCAAGTGTCTTCCTTCACCACGCTCCACAACCAGAACTAAAGACACCATTAAAATCATGGGAAACAAGAAACAAAAAAGTAATGGCGGTAGAAATGAAGCAGCTACACTCTTCCAGAAAGGGACAGTGAGACAGCAGTAGTCAAGAATGAGCAGAAGACATTCATAGAATTACAAGTGATCGATCGCAATGCAGCAAAATCTTCTTTCCATATTTGCTTCCTCTTTATCTTTACTTACAAAGAACAATAAAGCACAGGAACGGGCCCTTCAGCCAAACATGTCTGATGCCATTCTAAACTAATCCCATCTGCCTGCATATGGTCTGTATCTCTCTATTCCTTCTTTATTCATGCGTCTGTCTAAATGCCTCTTAAATGTTGCTATTGTATCTGCATCTACCACCTCCCTTCGCAGTGTGTTCCAATCACTTACCACCCTCTGTCTAAAAAAACACTTGTCACATGCATCTCCTTTAAACTTTCCCTCTCTCACCTTAAACCTATGCCCCTTAGTATTTCACATTTTCACCCTGGCGATAAAAAATTCCGATTATCCACCCTATCCATGCCTCTCAATTTTATATACTTCTATCAGGTCGTCCCTCAGCCTCCGAGGTTTTAGCAAATACAATCCAAATTTATCCAACCTCTCCTTATAGCTAATACACTCCAACCCAGACGACTTCCTTGTTAACCTCTTTTGCACCCTCACCAAAGTCTCCACAACCTCCCTTTACCGTGGTGACCAGAACTGCACACAATATTCCAAATGTGGACCAACTAAAGTTTTACACAGCTGCCACATGACTAACCAACCTTTATACTCAGCACCTCAACAGATGAAGGCAAGCATGCCATTCATTTCTTTACCACTTTATCCATTTCTGTTGCCACTTTCAGGGAGCTATGGACTTGCATCTCAAGATCCCTCTATATAACAATGCTCCTAAGGTCCTGACATTAATTGTATGCTTTTCTCTTGCATGTGACCTCCCAAAATGCATCACCTCACACTATCCATCTGCCATTTTTCCACCAAACTTTCCAACTGATCTACATCTTGCTGTAGCCTTTGACAATCTTCCTCACTATCCACAGCTCCACCATTTTTCATGTTGTCTGCAAGCTTGCTAACCAGGCCACCTACATTTACATCCAAATCATTCATACATATTACGTACAACAGAGGTCCCTGCACTGATCCTGGCAGAACACCACTGGTCATAGATCTCCAATTAGAAAAACACCTTTCTACAACTACTCTCTGTCTACGACCAAGTCAATTTTGTATCCAACTTACCAACTCACTGTGACTCCCAGGTGACTTAATCTTCTGAACTGGCCTACAATGGGGGATCTTATCAAATGTTTTAGTTAAGTCCATGCAGCCAACATCCACTGCCCTACCCCATGTTTTCAACGCTGTGAAACTCCATATCATTCCTCTTTGAAAAGTGGCAAGTCTGCAGTCAGCAGTCTTACCCAACTTCCAATACTTTATAACAGAAGAAAACAAAATGAATTGTTCCATATTCCACTGTAGATGGATATTCTACAACGCATTATGTATTTTATTCTTTCAAGGACAGAGAAAAAACTTCTCCTTTCTTGTAGCAAATGCAGCAATAAACTTTTGGAACGGAACATGCAAAAGCATAAAATCAAAAAATATAGAAAAGAGATTTTTTTTTAATTCAGGCTGAAGTAAACAACATTTCAAATATTCAATCTGGGTACACCAAGCAAAGAACAGACATCATCTGTATGAAATTTCTTCTTTGTTTCCAGGCACTGTTTAAACTTCAGAACATTTCAAGGACTTTCTCTCTGCTATAGGAAAGATGTTGTTAAACTTGAAAGAGCTCAGAAAAGATTTACAAGAATGTGGCCAGGGTTCAAGGGTTTGAGCTATAGGGAGAGGCTGAATAGGCTGGGGTTATTTTCCCTGGAGGGTCACGGGGTAACCCTACAGAGGTTTGTAAAATCATAAGGGGCATGGATAGGGTGGAAAACCAAGGTCTTTTCTCCAGGGTAGGAAAGTCCAAAACTTGAAGGCAGAGATTTAAGAGAGAGGGGAAAGATTTAAAAGAGACCTCTATGGCTGAAATAATCCTGAACCAAATTGTCCCTTCAAGCCCTAAACTATGACTCTCATTCAAGTCAGAAAATTGCAGGTTATTTTGCTAATCTAGCAAATTGTGTACCTAATCTAGGTTGTCACTTTCTGTGCAATACTGAAGGGATGTTACGCAGCTAGTGCCATGTTTTAGATATGGCAGTTAACTGATGCCTGATCTGTGGTCTCAAGTGAACATAAAAGATTTCAAGCACTATTTCATAGAACAGCAAGGGAGCTTGTTCCACTATTGTGGCCAATCTTTATCCCCCAACTAACATTATTAATAACTGGCATTATCTCATTTGTGTACAGAAAGGTCCTGCAAACAACAATTAGCTGCCATGTTTCTCCATTTTACAACCGTAACTACACGAAAATGGCTAACTGTGTATAAAACACCTTGGAACCCACAAGGTCATAAATGGTGCTTTACAAATAGTTCACATCTCATCCAGATAAAATACTGTTTTGTTTCTTTCTTAACACTATTGTGCAGCAACTGGAATTAACTGTACTTCACTGCTGGTTTCTATAACCACGTAAGCAGTCTGAATTTTGACTTACTTATTCCAGAGAGTAAACTATAACTAATAAGTTTAGTGTTAGTGGAAAAACAGTCTCAGATCTCTTCAAAAGACCTGAACACATGGGATATTTCAACCAGCTCCACAAAATTGATTCTAAAGCCTGCACAGTGAGAATTTAATGGCACTGAATGACTGCAGAAGGAAACTACAGTCACTTTTCAAAAGCACAAACTAACTTCTAAATCAGATAATTCTCTCTTCTTTCACAAACAAAAACAGAAATTGCTCAGAAAATCTCAGCAGGTCTGGCACCATCTGTGGAGAGAAAACAGAGTTAATGCTTCAGGTCCAGTGGCCTTTCTCAGAACTTTAGGCGACAGTTCATTGGACTCCACAGATGCTGCCAGTCCTGCTAAGTTCTAAGCAATTTCTGTTTTTGTTTGTGTCACCTAAACCAATGATTACACCAAATGCAGAGAATGCCAGAAAAACTCAGCAGGTCTGGCAGCATCTGTGGACAGTTAACATTCTGAAGAAGTCATATCAGAAATGTTAACTGTTTCTATCTGCAGATATGCTGCCAGACCTGCTGAGTTTCTCCAGCATTCTCTGTGTTTGCTCCAGGTTTCAAGCATCTGCAGTATTTTGTCAATTATTACACCCCTGCTCAGAAAATCGGGGGGTTGAATAATTCAACGCAGTGCAGTGGATCAAACCCCAAATCCTTCAGTTCCAAATGTTTCAGCACCACGATGGATTTTGAAGCTGCAAATTTAAATGTCAGAGGAGTGCAGTGATACACAAATATCAGGATAACATGTAACAAGGTTAACTAAATCCCTTAATTCCAGGTTATAATTATGCTATTTTTATTATTCACAACCTAGCTCACTTAAAATGTTAAAGAAAACTAAAAAAAAATCAATTACAATAAATGTCAGAGTGATTCTAAGGCAGCTTCAATCTGCTGGTTCTGATGGCCCTGAAAGAATGGTACACCATTCTCACTACATTAACAGAATCAATTTATTGAATCACTTCCAGTTATCAATTACACTTCATCAGTCATCAGTTGTCAGTGAGACAAGTCCAACATGTCCAAAATATCTAAATTAATGCTAAAGACAATACAACCAGGTTACTTGTGGAAAACATCCTTACATTTCTTAAGAAGGCAAAATCCATTCTGGTGAAAATAATCTGTGCTTTCCATCCCAAGACAGAAAGTAACTTATTCCTAGTAACTATTAAAATAAAATTCCATATATTAACTATTAGTCTTTTAGATTTAAAGTTTACTGATAGGCTGTTAATTTAGACTTGCACCCAATTCAGGACTAGCATTTGGGAAACTAGGCCTTTCAACTGAATTGTATTTCTATTCCAGTTTTTGATTACATAACTGCAATCACAATAGTTACATACACACTACAGTTAAATGGGGCTCAATGCCTCTTTGTAGAGCAGACAGAAGAATGCAGAAAGCACTAGTCACCATCAAGCACCGCAAACTCCACGGTCTCCAAGAGATTGATCGTAGATTTCAAATATACACAACCATCTAAAAACTATTAAATCCTTATTGGCTTAACGATCGATTGTCGACGCATTTAGCTCTCTCTCTCGCTCAGATTTCTCCCAGCTTGACTTACAGAACTTGGAGGCTGAACTGTTGATGTTCAGGGTTACTTTGCCGGCCACGGGCTCGGTGTCAGGCTCCCTGTGCGATGCCGGCCCTCGCTCTTCCCCGTTGAGAGGTATGGGGTGCGGGAGAAGCACCTTGGGATCTTGCTGCGCTAGCGGCGTGCCTCCCGGCTCGGGCAGAACGGGCTGGCTGGGGTGATGGTGTTGATTGCGATGCTGTTGCTGCTGATGGTGATAAGCGTCCGCGTTGGCCTCCCAGTTGTTGTGGTTGTGATCGTCCATCATCAGCTGTTGGTAACTGGGGTCCTCCTCCATGTTCTCCTCCATCGTTACGGTGGGGGGACAGGAGGCAGGGAGGGGTGGGGGAAGGGAGAAGGGACAGGGGAATGGGAAAGGGATGTTTAAGCCAGATCTGCAGGCGAACTTGTATATTCAAATTTATTTCCTCCTACATGAATACCAGTACCTTCCCCACTCCCTCAAATGGGCTCAACTCCTTATTCGACCCAACTCCTCCCTTCCCCCACCCCCTACAGACTGGACTCTCCTTTACGGTGAGTTTTGCAGCACTTTCACGACGCAGCGTCCCGGCGCATGCCGGGAGGCGGCGGCGGCGGCGCCGTTCCTTGGTGACGGTTGCCAGGGGAATCCCGCCATTGTGAGCCGAGCCGAGGCGATCCTCGGCTGTGGAGATATGGCCTACACGGTTTGCAAAGCGCTTCTGTATGATTCTCCATAGTCTACGTTACGGAAATCCGCTCCCGTTTTGGCTTTCGTCCTGCTTTACGGTCAGTAGAGATAAGGGGTGTCACCGAAAAAACGGGTGGCGGAATTTCGGGCGTAATTCCGGCCGAATCTGCTCTCGGCGCTTTATCCGGCCTCCTGTCTGTCAGGTCGCTCTGGTGTAAAAGCTTTTCCTCAGTTTTTTTTTGTTTCGGCCAATCTAGAACTCTTCAGGCGACGACCAGATTTTGTTGCCAATTTTGCAGAAAAAGACCAATCGGCCCCACCAGCCCGTACTGACCTTTGCTCCATTCAAGCTTCCTTGCTCATCCAAGTCTTCTGATTGATTGTAATCCTCAATTCCTGTCTCCTATATACTTTATCTAACTTCTCCTTAACTGCATCTACGCTATTTGCCTCAACCACACCCTGTGGGTCAAGTTCCTAAATTGTCACCATACTGGAATGTTTTTTTTTTCCCCTGAATTCCGTGTTTGATATCTTGGTGACTCTCACGTTCGTGGCCTGGAGTTTTGCTCATTCCCACAACTGCAAATATTCGATGTTACTCCACCAACACCCTTTTTAATTAAAAAAAAACTTAGGTCACTTCTCAGCGTTCTGTTTTTAAACAAGAGAAATGAGAAATGGCCTGCTTATCCATTCAGGTAGATACAGCCTTGCACTTAATGTCATAGAGATCTACAGTGCAGAAAAAGGACTTTTGGCCATTCTCGGCCACACCAGTCAACTATTCTATTCTATTCTAACCCCATTTGCCAGTATTTGGCCCATAGTCTTGGATGCCTTGGCATTGCACATCTAAATACTTCCTAAGATTATGAGGAGGAAGGGTCACTGAAATATTAACTCTGATTTTTTTTCTTCACAGATGCTGCCAGACCTGCTGAACTTTTCCAGCAGCTTCTGTTTTTGTTCCTGATTTAAGCATCCACAGTTCTTTCGGTTTTCCTAATGTTATGAGGTTTTCTGCCTTTACCACCTTTACAGGCAGTGAATTACAGATTCCCACCACTTTCTGGTAACATCCTTGTGAATCCATTTTCCACAACTTTCCCATGTCTTCAAATCCTTTTTGCAACCAGAACTTGGAATGTTGTGTTCAGTTCTGGTCACCTCATTACAGGAAAGATGTGGAAGCTTTAGAGAGGGTGCAGAGGAGATTTACCAGGATGCTGCCTGGACTGGAGGACAAGTCTTATGAGGAAAGGTTGAGGGAGCTAGGGCTTTTTTCATTGGAGCAAAGGAGGATGAGAGGTGACTTGATAGAGGTTTACAAGATTATGAGAGGCATAGATAGAGTGGATAGTCAGAGACTTTTTCCCAGGGCAGAAATGACTATTACGAGGGGACATAATTTTAATGTGATTGGAGGAAGGTATAGGGGAGCTGTCAGAGGTAGGTTCTTCACACAGAGAGTGGTGGGTGTGTGGAATGAGCTGCTAGTAGTGGTAGTGGAGTTAGATACTTTAGAGACTTTTAAACGACTCGTGGATAGGCACATGGAGGATAGTAAAATGTAGGGTATGCAGGGTAGATTGATCTTAGTAGGATAATAGGTTGGCACAACCTCGTGGGCCAAAGGACCTGTACTGTGGTGTACTGTTCTATGTAACTGCAAACAATACTGTGTGGTCACTATACTTATTTCCAATTAACTTTTATGAGCTTTCTTTAAAATGCTGTGACTCTTAACAACTTGCTATTGTAGCTGCTATTGATAATACCAGCATCAAGGCAGTTGGTAAATATAATTTTTTGAACAATAAGGGTCAGGGAGCAGTGTAAGTATCAATCCCTTTAAATTCTAACCCTATCAAAATTGTTGATCTTTTAAAATAGAAGTTCATTTTTAATCTTGGATTTCTTTTTAATTTAGTGTATTTGTAGCTGAATCAGATCACTAATTTTATCCACATAGAAGATCAGTCTAAGCTGTGTCTGATTTTTGGTATCAACCACAGAAAGAGAATATACAAAAATGATATAAGAATACTTGCAAAAAAAAAGTAAGTTAGCCAATGCCAATGTTAAATAATTTTATTAAGCAATACCATGCTCAATAGCTGGTAAGCTGCACAACTGTAAAAGACACATATTGGTAATTTATTATGATCTTGGTCAGCATCTATCTTAATTATGTCATCAAGTTCAATAGGGATTTCTACATGTGGAGAGATGTAGCATGTAAATGTGATTTTTTTTGTGACAGTGATTTTTTGTGTAAACTACAGTGCTGTTTTTGTGACAATGCTGTATTGTGATGCAATTTTTCAGTTTTGCAAACTAAAAATTGTCAAAAAATTTAAATAATACCAGTACTCTTACTAGCATAAGACTGCATGGATTTTTGAGTTTCTGTTGTGTTATAAGATCCTTCAGCTGTGTTTTTGTATAATCTATACACCCACCCCACCCTAGCTAGTTTTATTGTTGAGTGATGCTAATGAGATGCAACGTCATGAAACTTGCCTAAAGTACTATCTTGGCTGTTATGTTTTCTGTGGAAGCTACTCCAGTGCTACTGGTGAACATCGCAGGTGTACATACATTATTTAAATATTTAATCTACTTCCATTTTGTGCCGAGCACCCCCACCTGACATTTTGGAATGGGGGTACCCAAAATGGGTGGCATCCCCATTCATCCTCAATGAATCTCCCATATTACAGTGGCTGGGTAAGGCATCAGTCAGCCTTCCTGTTCTTGGGCCTATTATAATCTTTAAGTGGCCAATTACAGGCCAGTTAATGTTCTCATTTCAGCTCTGCTACTATTTTAGCCAGGAATTGACAGCAGGAAGCAACTTTCACCTCAAGGACTGCTGTCAGGTAACCGGGATGGGGGTCTCGGGGGAATCCCCTGTGCTCATCGTAGGCATCCTCCTGCAACCTCTAAAACGCAGATCTCTCTCCACTACTCTTTCTGAGGCCTGGCAGACCTGTCTAAAATCCCTGAATTTGCCTGAAGTCTCAATTCATAATATTCCTTTTCAGACTGCATGTAGTTTCAGCAGTGGCCACTTCTAAATTCTTGTACTGCTAGGACAGCGAAGCTGCGGGCCAGTCAAATTGATCTTTCTCCATATGAGGGTGGAAATGCCACTCTGAATGAAAAAAATTCTCCCTGTGTAATGTCACGGTACAGCAGCTATGATTTGGATGAGTGGGTTGACTGTGGACTTTTCAGTGTGGAAGCAGGTGGACATTTGCCAAGTATGAAGCAAGCAAGCAGCCTTATCATTTCATTTCTTAAGGCTTATCTCATTGCATATAATTGTAAAATTCTGGTTTCCTATTGGAATACCGTGCCATGTGGATAGAACACAATGATAAGACTACCTACTACTGTACAGACTAGATTATTAAAGACAAAATAGAAGTATTGTAAGAATGATACCAGGAAGTCTCAATGTCAATCCTATTATTGAAAGAAAATTTAGTCAGATTCTCTACAGTGAATAGACACAAACCTTTGCTGCTAATTTTAACAGAATTTTAAAAAAACTTTCAATTTTTATTGTAGTTCTGAGCATAGCTATTAATTGATTGCTATACTAGTATTATGACAGGTATACTTGAGACACAAAATGAATGTCATCTTTGCTTCAATTAATATTTGCACCTCTCAATGTATGTGGCCATTTAGGAAAATAACTACCTGCCGTGCTTCAAAATAATCAGTATGGGGAAAGGTTCACTGTTCATAAAGAAGCACTAAACTGTCAATATAAACCAGTGGGATTCTGATTTACTTTGAGATCTTAATTCTATTGTGCTAAAAGACGGTTATTCAAAACACCACCATGGCAGTAATATATACCTGAGCAACTTAGCGTCACCTTCATTCTGGTTACTTCTGGGCATTCTGGCAGAATAAAACATCTCCCCAGCCATGGTGTTATGAATGACATGACGCTGTATCATTAATCCAGATACAGAAACTGTTTTTTCTATTTATTCATTTGTTAGCATTGTGAGATGTCTTTACGAATTAATTTTATTTGCGCTTCTTTCCAAAAATGTAGGTGTGTACAAATTGAATCCCATTGTAAAATCTATCTGAAACACTGGTCAGAATTTTTGCAGGCCCTGAACAACCTTGAAAAATTTGGAAGAATTACATGAGAAGTCAAGCGAGGACATTCTGAACAGTTAGAGCAACAAATTGCATTTTCTAAGCAAATTCCAGTTTACATAACCAGATTCTTGGTAGCGAACAGTGAGAGGCCTATTAATGGGTATTATCGCTCTTTATCACCCTCAATCTTAATCACACCCTATTAACATGCATTTTACCATTCTCCTACGTGCCAGTTAGAAACTAGACAGTGAGAATCCCTGCCGTGAAAGTCAGAGCCCGTTAGCTAGCGACTGTAGCTCACTGCTTCCTCCTCCAGACCTCCATCTTGAACATGCGGCACCAACAGAAATGCTATATAGGCAGCTGTTTTATGCATCACAGACTGACTTTGAGCACAAGCCAACCTCTTCACACAATCACGGCAACCTCCAATCCACTTAGAGTGTGCTTCTTGCTCAGTGCTCTTCACTTTCTTTATTAGTGCTTACTCACTTAGCACTTAACTAAATGTTCACAACATCTCTGCCTTGCTTTTCAGCACTTTGTGCCCTCAGCTGGAGTTAACAGGCTCACAGTACTTTTATCATGCCTTTTAACACAAGCACAAAGCCAGGAAGTTTGTCATGGTTGTCAGTATTCAACAGTCAAGGGGATGGACATGTGCTACACGGCAGCATGCTACATCAATCTCCTATC